TCTAACGAGAAAGCTGGGGGTAAAAATAAACAAGCACGCAAACAAACAATGGAGCTACGAAGTTCACATTGTCTCAGTTATTTTAAAATAGAACCCTTTCAACAAGCACATTGACAATTGGATTAGTGGCTGAGGGGAGTCCCCAAGGTGCTATTTTTAACTGCAAGGAACGTTAATGCTTTTATTTTCTTTAAAATAGAATGAGACACAGCTCCAGACTCCCGTGCGCTTCCTTTCCTTGAGACATTTCCCACTGGAATCAGAATTGGCTTGAGAGAATGTAATGGTTATTATTATTATTTACTGTGTTGAATCATTTGTCTTAGCCAGTTGGTCACTTTTTTTAGATCGAAGTATCTTATGCTGAAGGTGGAAAATAATTTTATCGGAAATGATCGTCCCCACAAAAGTAATTTTTTTGAGGCTTGTAGGAAGAAGAAATGCAACTTATGGCAAGAATTATTTGCAAGGCTGATGATTTGTTTTGTTGACCTAAGTGCAGTGTTGTAACGTAACAGTGGGAGGATTCAAGAGGTGATAGCAAAGATGATAATAGGGTTATGGACTACCTACACATGAATTATACCTTTTTTAATTGTGGAAGCTTTTGGGGGAGGGGTAGCAGACAGCCATCATCATTATCACCATCACCATTTTAGAACCCCAGAGTGAGAAGGGATCATGTATAGATCATCAAGTCCAACTCCTGTCAAAATGGGCTTTTTAAAAACACCCGTCTATTAACCAGTGTGGGATATCTGTTCCCCATCCTTGAATCCTCAAGGTGGGCAAGTTTGTGGGGTTTTGTGGTGTTTTTTTTTTATTTGACAGAGATTACCTGGGGAATCCTGGAACCTCAAATTTGCATGCCTCGCCATGGTATAATGTAGCGAATTAAAAAGTTAATAAAAAGATGGACCGATTCTCCGGCTACCAATATAGCAGGCAGTGCCGAGCAATTTAAATATGAAAAGATGAGGAACACCGTGTACCTTTCTTTTAAATAGACTTCTCAGATTTAATCTTCTGCTCCTGCGCATTAATTACCTGAAAGTGAATTCTCCGTGGTCTTTGTTACCTGCAGTTCCTTTCATGTTCCTATAAAACCCACTGCAGTTTTATAGACCCGCTTCAGGTCTTCCACCGAGACCACCATTAAATAGGGAAAAGTCCCTTGTCCTGAAGAGAACTTTTTGGCGCCCTTTAAAAAGACATTCTAAAGATTTGTTATGAATAAGGAACAGCTGCCAAAGGGGGGGGGGGAATGCAAGTTTCTAGTCCTTATGAATATGGAGAAGATGCAGGAAGAAAATTACCATAGGTTGGGAACGCTGTGGAAATCCCACTGTGGATATTTTTGACCTGTAAGAATGGCAGGATCAGACCGAGGTAAGCTGAGATCCTAAGGTCTTAAGAGGCCCCACCCATTACCCTCTAAACAGTTATCCTAACAATTATGTAAAACCTGAGGTATAGTTGGTTTATTTATTTATATGTTTTTTTAAAATAGAGCTTCTTCATAATGTGATTCCAAAAAGTGGGGAATTCATCATCCTCACCCTCATCTTAGAATTGCAGAGCTGGAAAGGGACCCATTGAATCCAGTCCCTTTCAAGGAGGCCCCCAATGGGGGAATCGAACTCCCAACTCTGGCTCCGCAGCCTGGGATCTAAACCACTGAGCCATCCATCCAGTCAGCCGCATGTGCTTTGATGTCCTGTAATATTTCAAGCGACTCCTGAGCAGGCAAATTTTTGCGAACCTTAGCAGACCCGATGGGGAATGGGGTGAAGGGAGCGCTAAGGTTGAGTGGGCTTCGTCTCCAGTTCTGCTCTCCAGTTGGTCTACCCATCTAGAGAATGCCTCGAGATGTTGGTTGGCACCATGAGACCCAATAATCCTAATTTTAAGGGACAGCAGGAAGTGAGCGCTGTGAAATCCTGGTGCAAGGGGAGGGGGAAGGGGTGTATACAAATCACTGGGCAGCCAGTAGAGCTGAGTGAGTGTAGAAGGGCTCAAAAATCAAGGCTTATAAAATGGCTAGTGCATCTTCTCTCTCTCCCCCACCCTTTTTCCTCTGGCCCGATTAAAGCATAATTTTACAACCTGGCGACACATGGGTTTTTGGTTTTTGTGGTTTATTTTTTTTGGTCTTCCGATACAAAAAAAAAATTGATGCATGAGCTAACTGGAACACAAGACAACAGATGCTTATCTCCAGGCGATGGAGAACCTTGTTGTACAGACAGCGGTGTCAGATTGCGTTAAATCTACCGAAACCATCTTCCCCACTGCGATTTTTAGTCCATTCCCCCCTCCCCTTTTTTCAACTTTTCATCGGCCTCATACCCGTCGAGAAAGAGTGTCGTCGTCGTTGCTTTTTGCCGGTGTCCCGTTTGTTTCCGAGCTCCGAAGGCCGTCCCGCGCGCTCTCTTGTCGGCAAAGATGCAAATCATCTATAAGGTAACTTCCCCCTCCCAGCTGCTCCCAAAAAAATAGCATTTGCTCTTAAAATGAGATCCTGTTTGTTTTTTTTCTGCAAGATTGCTTCAAATGGCAAGCCAGTATAAGCCACCCAGTGCTATCTTGGCCGCCTATTAAGTTGGAACAGAGCAAACTGGGGATGAGTGAATAGTAATTGCTACATCCCACAGATATTAAAGGGCTCGCTTATTAAAACTATATAGTTTTTTTTTGGTGGGGGGGATTTGGACTTGATCTCTGGCTGTTTTCCTTGCCGACTTTGCCTAACGTTGGTTGCATTCATTGAGAGAATCTTCTTTCCCCCCCTCAAGGAACACAGAACGATGAGCCCCATCTGTACGAGATGAATGCTCGTGCCATTTGTATTTCTTTCCAAATCAAAGGTAACTTCGCACTGGCCAAAATGTCAGATCTGAGTTTCGTTAGGGAAAGTTAACGAGCCCCAGTCGCTTTCTCCTCTTCTGGTGCTTTCGAATCCTGCCGACGCTAACAAGCTCGGTGGTATTAAGAGCACATGGTTCCCTATCCTGCGTGGGATTTTATTTTTAAATGAAACCCGTCTTGCTTCGCGAGTGTTTTATCTCCGGTTTGTTGCTGATGTTTTATTTTAAGGATTTGGAAACAGGTTTCCAGCCCCTGAGTCTGGATTGTGCATTTGCTTAAACGAGAGATGACAAAATCGCATTGCTAACTGAAACCTTATAGAAGACCACTGGGCTTGATTCTATCTCTGTTTATTCCCAGGCTGGGAATATTGGAGCAGAGCCTCCATTCTCCAGGGCTCGGTGGCTGTGGCTTGTGGTAGCTGGTTTTGTGAGTTCTTAATCTCTTTGGCCTCCCTGCAGTCCCTGAGGCTTAGAAGGAGATCGATATGGAATAGGTTAAACAATAGACCTTGTACAACTCTGTAGTTGTGCATGTGGGTACACCGCGGGATAATTAACATCTTGAAAATAAAATAGACTACCGCCCATTACTTGTTGTAAGAGAAAAACTGACTCTCTGTTTATTTTCATTTATTTTTGGAACGCCCAAAAGATTATCTCTGCAGAAGGGGGTGGAGTGGGGGAGGTTCTTTTATTTATTTCTTTGCTGAGTGGCAAATTTGAAAGTCTTTTCATGCATTGCTCCGCCTATCTAGAAAATCTATGCCAGTGTGCTTTTCTAAGCCAGCGCATAGTATAACTTTGTAAATACCCCCGAAAGATGGAGCCTATGCACGAGAGCAAGCTGAACAACTGACTTTTGAGACAGGCCTTACAAAGGGCCACTTAGAACAGCCAAATAGTAATACAGGTGTAGAGTATATAACATTTTTCTACGCTCTCACCTTACACCCCCTTTTTGCTGGGGGAAAAATCAGCCTCGTAAAGCAATCTTTCACCCCCAGAAGCCACCAGGAGATGGTACTATTCTTCTCTCTTTAATTTACTCTTTAATTGCCACTGCAACCAGGGTTATCCAACTTAACTGAGGCTGAAGAACCTTTTTTTTTTCAAAAGCAAAATGGTTCATCAAGTCATTTCCAGTCTTGAAAAGTAAAAAAGGGCAGAAGACTTCACAGGTCTAGGAAAGAGGGTGGAAAATGGGGCGGATAACAACAGCCGCACCTTTTGTGTCTGCCCGTGTTTTGTCAGAGCAAAACCCTCTAAGAAACATATTAAGACCTTATTATTATTTTTTTAATGGACATAGTCTGGTCACGTACCCTTTCAAAGGTTAAAACTCATCTCCAGAGTACTGGATCGGGTTTTTTAAAAATTTATTTTCTTGTTCACTTTTAAATTTTTGCTTCTTTTGCCCTGATGCTGAACACGGGAGCTTGGGAAAAAAGCATGCCACTTGTGGAAAAGTTGAACTGAACTCAGTAATAACAGACTGTGTGGGATGGAAATGAAACAGAACCTGGTCAAGATGGTGTTCTTGTGGGTGTTTTTCAGGTCCAGGAAATAGTCATTTTAACCCCTCCCAGAGAGCACCATTATCTCTTTGTTTTAGCTGGTCAAATAGCTTTATTTTTTATTACACTGTGTTCTAGTGATCTTTAAGTTATGCTGTTGTTAGGTGCTGTCAACTCACCTCCAACTTAGGGTCACCTTAGAAACAAGCCATCTCTAAAATGTCTTGTCCTCAATAGCCCTGCTCAAAACGAGCCATCTCTAAAATGCCCTGTCTTCAATAGCCATGCTCAGGTCTTGTAGACACAAGCCTATGGCTTCTTTTAAAGAGTCAGTCCATCCTGTATTTGGTCCTCCTCTTTTCCTGCTCTGAGATGGAAAAAATCATCTCAGAATCTTTAGATTAATTACATACCTAACTGGTCTCAGAATCTTTAGATTAATTACATACCTCAACGAAAAGGCATCAAATCATAATTCGCACCATGCCCTGGCTGCGTCAAACACAACCGTCACTAACTGGCGTAATCAAACACATCTCCCACTAATTGAAGTTAATTAATAAGAGGTCATCATGTGTTTTGATTTTACCTTTTTTCCCCTCTTGTTTTGCTCTAGGAAAATGAATTGAAAGATGCTGTATGTGAGAAGAACCGCCTGAGGCTCCAGTATGCCAGCGTCTCCCAGAAAGCACTGCAGTATGACCAGGTAATAACTTGGGTGGTGGGAACCTGTTCGTTGCTTCTCATTTATCCCTATGTCACAACTCTTGGAAAGAATCCTTCCGTTCTTCGGCCTGTGCTCAGCATTTTACTGATTTCAGGGCTTTACACAGGCTTCCTCTTGAGTACTACGTCCAGTTCTAGACACCACATTTCAAGAAGGAGGCCGACAAACCGGAGTAAGTTCAGAGGAGGGCAACGAGGGTGATCAGAGGACTGGGAGAAAAGATTGAAAGAACTGGGCATGGAGGGTAATCAGAGGACTGGAGACGAAGCCGTGGGAGAAAAGATTGAAAGAACTGGGCATGTTTAGCCTGGAGAAAATAAGATAGAGAGGAGATAAGACAGCACTTTTCAAATACTTGAAAGGTAGCCATACAGAGGAGAGGCAGGATCTGTTCTCCATCATCCCGGAGTGGAGAATATGTGATAATGGATTCAAGTTCCAGGAAGACAGATTTCAGTTGAATATCAAGAAAAACTTCCTAACTGTTAGAGCAGTACGACAAAAGGATCCATGACCTCGAGAGGTGATGAGCGCTCCAACACTGGAGGCATTCGAGAGAAATTTAGACAACCACCTGGCAGAAATCTTTTGATTTGTACTCCTGCCTTGAGCAGGGGATTGGACTCAATGGGCTTATAGGACCCTTCCAACTTAGTGATTCTTTGCATGGTTATCAGTCATGGTTTTCTTGACTTCAAACGCAGCCCTTCATATCAACACAATTAGGTGCGCTGGCAGATCAGTCCATATAAATAGACAAATGCAGCAGCATGGAGCATCAGATGGAAGCAGCATTAAATGACGTAAATGAGAAGAAGCTTTTTCACACTTTTTTTCTCTGTTCTGATATATGGCATGGGAATCATGGACATTAATGCGGGCTGTCATAGGCCTTTTCTTGCCATCTGCCCAGCAGAGACTGGAAATTAGAAGCACGAAAGATGGGAGACCCACCCAAGTGGTCTTGGGTTGGAGAAACCCGTGTTGTAAAAATGACAAGAGCAGCCACTGGAGCAGGATCCAAGCGTTGCTGCGGAAGGCCTCCCCGGGGTGTTGAAGCCCGAGAGCAAGCGCTCAGAATAAAACTGAGATTGTTCACTTCACAGCACTGTTCTCGAGCCACGATTCGCAATCTGCTCACTGCTGGCTGTAACCGAGGGAGGGAAAATTAATTATCAGGTCTCTTAATTACAGATGCTTGCAATTCGGGTGTGTGCGTGCCTGCGCGTGTGTGTGTGACGGCTGTCTTTAAATTTGCCTGAGGCTCTCTGGAATTCAGACGGAAGGTGGTGTAAGGCAGGAATCTGGGGGGAGGAAAGAGGTCCAAGAATTCCATGTGGAATACATTGCTGGTCTCTAACCAGCTCTGTCTTCTTCTCCTCACTCATGGCGTTTATTGGAGACAAATAAATGATATTAAAAAGTGCAGTTTTTAAAGTTCTCCATGTTTTCAATCATTCAGTTAAAGATGGGCATGAACCGGCCGTTTGTGCCAGTTTGTACTTTATCCGAACAGCTGTTCCGCACCGTGTTCAGCTCCTCTGAGAGGCTCCCTCTCGGAGGCAGGCATCCCCGAGGAGGTGGAGCAGAGAGCGCATTCAGCTGGCGCTGGAACTCCAAATTGGAGCAGGTTCAGAGGAGGGCAACGAAAATGATCAGAAACCAAGCCCTAGGAAGAAAGTCTGAAAGAACTGGGCCTGTTGAGAATGAAGACTGAGAGGAGATAAGACGGCACTTTTCAAATACTCGAAAAGGGGTCCTACAAATGAGGGGCAGGATCTGCTCTCTCCGTCCTCCCAGAGTGCAGGACACATGATAATGGGCTCAAGTGACAGGAAGCCAGATTGAGGCTGAAGATCGGGAAAAACGTTGTCATTCTTAGACATGGGACCCATGATCTTGAGAGGTGATGAGCACTCCAACGCTGGAGGCCGATTGGGAAAAATGTCGTCATTCTTAGAGCAGTACAGCAATGGGACCCATGAGCCTGAGAGGTGATGAACACTCCAACGCTGGAGGCCTTCAAGAGAAAATTGGAAAACCTTCTTTCAGATCTGCTTTGATTTGGATTCCTGCCTTGAGCAGGGGGGGGGGGGTTGGACTCGATGGCCTTGTAGGCCCCCTTCCAACTCATTTATTCTATGATTTGCTTATTTTGCCCACTGGAGGAAACAAAATTCAAAGTTCCCTCCCTCGCTTGTATTTTACGCTCTCTGTCTTAAGAGTGTTCGGTTCCGGAGACGCAGAAGGCAGTACATATCTGAAAGCAAATACCAAAATGCTAAAAGAATTCTCTGGCACTTAAAGACCAAGCAACGTGTTGTAGCTTATGTTACCACCGGCCTGTTCTCCTTTAAAGTTGCCACAAGATTTTGTGTGTGTGTAAATGTGTGTGTTTTATACTTGGCTAGTATTGCAGTTTATCCCAAAGGAAACTGTTCTGTAAGAACGAGGAGTACAGGGGATCTACTAGTCAGTCAAACTAGGTCAGCCGTCTCTCGCTGCCAGTGGGGGGGCTTTTGGCATTCTGATGTAATTTTCACTTCACGTAGGGGCCCATATGTTCTTGAGACAGCAGCTCGCCGAGGCAGTAATTAGATCCACTCGCATCCACGTGCCTAAATGGGATTGACGGACCCCCCACGAGCATCCTGGGGACGGGACAAGCTCAATTCGTTCACAGCTGTGCACTCCGTTCGAGGCAAAATGCCGAGGAAAGGTGAAGATGTAGGTTTTGCCAGCTGAGTCTAGTGTTGAGAAGCCAGCCAGAACACAGAGGTGTTCCCACTGTGCAAAATAAACAATTTAGCCTTCTTTGTAGCAGATTTTTTAAAAAAATTTCATTGAGTGATTTCTGAGATATTTTCTGATCCCGCAGCAGAAATCTTACACCAAAGCCTGCTCGAATGCTCGTTAAGGCACACAATTGTGCCCACCAAGGACTGGCAGAAACAAATTATTTTATTATTTCTTTAAAATATTTTTAACCCGCCTTTCTCCTTAAGAAGGACCCAAGGCAGCTTGCAAAAATTAAGACAGTGTTTAAGTTAGTGACAATGAGTATACAATACTGAAAGGATCAATGAATTCAACACGAAAACAAACCCCAGCAACGCCAAAACATATTCAGGGCAGTGAAGTACAACAATCCATTTCAAAAACCTCCCTCGGCAGCCATTTGATCAGAGAAAGCTTGCCTGAAGAGAAAGGTCTTTGCCTGCTTGCAGAAGGACAGTAAAGAGAGCCTCACCTTCTGTGGGAATGAGCTCCAAAGTCTTGGAGGAGCAACAGAGAAGGCTTTCTCCCATGTGCTCCCCCCCAAACACACCTGTGAAGGTGGAGGGGAAAACCCTCCTTCACTTGTTTCCATTGCACCCTTCACATTCTTCCGTCACATAATTATCACTTATGGCCGGCTGAATGAGTCGATACCTAATGCTCCATAGGTGAGCCCCACTGCTTCTTCTCTTTTCCTCTGAAAATAGTCCACTCTCTTCCTCTTTCACCCTAATGGAGAGAAAGTGTGAGCTCTCCTCATTTCCTCCTCTTCTGTTCTTCAGGTGAAAACAGACTATGATCAGCTTAGAGGAATTCTCGCTGCAGTGACCAAGGAACGAGATTTGGCTGTCAAGGAGAAACACCAGCTCCAAGCCAAACTGGAGAACTTAGAGCAAGTCCTTAAGGTAGGTGGTGAGAAGGAATGGGAATGTAAACAGGGAGGGACATGTTTTGGACAGCGGAATGCGCATAACGATGGTGGCGGTGACAATGATGACGACGGAGAAGAGTCATTAATATGGCCATCCAAACCATTAGCCATATAAAGGTGGAGAGCAAATGATGCTGGCTTAGTTTGAGGTGGCTTGTGGTCCACAGCAGAGTGGTAGAAGACTTGATTTGTGTGCAAGAGGGTCTCAGGTCGTCAACGATATCTCTACACAGAGATGGGAAAATTCATCTGTCTGTCACCCTGTAGAGCTTTGTCTTTGTGGACTGGGACAAATGAGAAGGACCAATGCTCAAACTCCACATCAAGCAGTTCTTAACTCAGTGTCTGAGAATAAACTTTGCAGGCAGAAAGTCCCCATTGTTCCAGGGGATATCAGTTTGAACTGTGAAGGATCTATCCAAGTGGCATACCTACTGTGGAGATAGGATTCAGCACCTTGGAGAGTTCCCGCAATTCAATTAAACCAGGTTCTGTGAAACTGAAGTCGCCACCGGCCTCAACGGGAAGAGAGAGGAAATCCAATAAGGTGTATAATTTTTGTTTAAATTATTTTTATACTGCCTTTCTCCTTAAAAAGCTGGCTGAATAGCTCAGTAGTTTAGGTATCTGATGCAGAGCCAGAGGTCGGGAGCTGGATTCCCTACGCTGCCGAGGAAAAAAGCCAGACTATGTAGCCTTGGGCAAGCTGCCCAGAAGAAGGGAAGGCTAAATCACTTTTGAGTACTCCCTACCTCCAAAACCTTGGAAAGGGTCACCATATGTCAAAATTAACTTGATGGCACACAATTATAATTATTATATATTTTGCTAAAGCAACTAAAATGGGAAAATGCTGGAAGGTTACCGGCCGCGCACGGCTGATAATCAAAAGGAGATAATACGTCATCCTTGCAGGAAGACATGAGAACAGAGGGAGAGTGAATTCTCAATCAGTGTTATGAAAATCCCATATCCCGGCTAGACTCCTACCCAGCCCCAATGTGCACCATTGTTTGAGGACAACTAATTCGGTTGTGTGTGTAGGGTAGACTCATTTTTTTTTTTGTCTTACATGAAAAAGGAATGAACAAGGGCTGAGAAGGAGCAGCCGGTTGCCCTCAAGTTCTTCCTGCCTTGAGATAGCTACCTCATTCTACCTAACAGTTGGGCTGGCCATAGCTTGTCAAATAAATGAAAACCCTTGAAGGTTGATTCAGGAGGAAGGAAATTAAAAAAATCGTGACGGTCATTCATCAGTGTCCATTGCTACATTTCCAACCCACCCACCCACCTTTCTGATGGAGGCCACACCTTTTTCCATTTTTGAAATGGAGGATTTAAGCATAAACAGTTGCTAGAGAGGAACGGTCCCCTTTTTGCAGGTGAAGAAGTGTACTTCTCAGGTGAGGTTTATGTTGGCCACCCTTGGCTAAAGAGCTGCCCTCACATCTTCTAATCCACTCCACCTTTATAACAGTTTAAAGCTTGTTTTCCTTTCAAAAGCAGGAAGAATTGAAAAGATCATTACAGGCTCTTCTGCTTTTTTTTTTATTTCTTAGCAATGCAGAGATGCAGAGTCCATCAAGAGGCAACCATAGAAACAGGAATAAGATAAAACAAACCAACGATTGCTTTCATAGCTTGCAATCCCATCTACGCTTACCTAAGAGTAGGTCTGGTGAATGAAAGGGGATATATGAGAATATCACCATTTTACAGGGCTGGCATCTCCAAAGTGTCCCTTTTAGAGCAATGTAGAGAAGTTGAAATGCTGTTTTATGGTTGTTAGATAAGTAGGGCACAGTGGGTTTGTTTCCAGAAGAACAAAGGCAGACAAAGTGGTGGTTTAAGCAAAGGAAGGAAGGAAGCCCAGAATTCTCCAGCATCTGCCCCTTACCCTTTAAGGGGATGGGGAGAGATTTGTCAAGCAAGCCCAGATAAAAAAATTTTTTTGTTCCTATTTCAAAGCTTCAAAAATGGGCACGGCAATAGAAGGGAGATAAAAAAGATCTCGTTCAGCTTCCGTCTCTTGTTAAATGTGGACCATGGCTAAGAGTGGAAGTGTAAAGGCAATCCCTTTTTGTGTGTGCATTCCTGCACCCACACTAAATTTCTCAGGGGTCACCCCTTACCTTTGGGTGAGGAAAAGCATGCAAGAGATTAACAGGGTTTGGGAGAGGAAGGCCAGCGTCTGATGGAAGTGGAAGGGCAGGTAAAGTCTGTGGGTCTGTAGTTAACTAGTCAAGTCCCCTTGCTTGGGTGGTATGTTAAAAGAGGCATGGGCAAGTGGTATAGCCAACACAACGTTGTTGTGCGTGGAATTGTGTTGTTCAAGATCTGAGCCATTCACTCCATTCCATCTTCTTCGTCTCTCCATGCTTTGCATCCTTCCCCATCTCTGACTAGCAGGGCTACCTACGATGGCCACCACCTACGCTTGGTCCTCACCAGGCTATGTTCTTTTGGTGGTTCCTTTGCTCAGTTGGGTCAGTTCATAAAAGTAAACATTGCTTGAGATGGTCATGTTTCTCCTGGTACAAGAGCAAACACACACTGAACGTCACATTGCGAAGGCATCTAACAGAGAAGTCTCTTTGGGGGGCGGCTAATTCTCCTGCCTCTCTGTTGATCCCTTTGTGTGCACTCAATCCCTCGAAGAGCTGGCTAGATGGCTCGGGGGCTCACGTACCAGAAATTGGGAGTTCAATTCCCCCAATATGAGCGTCCTGGGAGAAGAGCCAGCCTGGGTGGCCTTGGGCAAGCTGCACAGTCCCAGGGCGCCCCCTAGAGGAAGGGAATGGCTTCTGCCTTACTACTGAGCGATGCCCTCTTCTCTCTATCTGTGTTCAGCTTTTGGCCTCTGCTCCTAGCTTTCTAGCTCATTTCTAGAAAGCTCACTTCTTTAGCCTGCCTGCAGCTACATGATCGTCCATTGCTTTTTCCAAAGACTTTCACAAGAACTCAAACATCTCCACAATGCAAAATCAGCAGCTGTTAAACAACTGAATATCTTCAAACATATTTTTTTTAAAAGGCCTGCGGTGTGTCTTGTTGCAGAGTTTTGAATTTCTGGTTTTAAAATCCCTTTTGCTATGCAGTAGAAGTACAGAGACTCTGAGAGGATAGCTTCAAGTAGTCGACTCTTTTCTCATTAACTGGCACTTAAAGTCTCAATAACTCAGTCTGAGACATTAGCAGGAGAAAGAATAAAAATGTTTCGTTGCTTACAGTTGTGAACAGATCAACAGCAGACAGTCAAATGTCCACTGCTTCCAACGTACTAAAGAGAGGGAAAAGGAACACTTAACATAGAGGCGGGGCTCTCTTTGGAATTCAGTGTCAGAAAGCAATGATTGGTTAGTGCTGGATAGATTGACAGTTGCTCCAGCCACACTTACTAGAGGCCACCTAAGAGGTTGCAAAAACAACATAACTCTGGGTAGCTATTAAGTGGCTGAAATTCAGATTTCTCACTTAAAGCTTCTGAAGGAGCTGTCTCAATTTGAAGGCCAGAAAGCAGGGGTAAATCTTGGAAGGAAGTGATGTACATTTGCGAAATTATTTTGGACAGAATGGCATAATTTCACTATAGAACTCTTCTGGCATCTGCAAGATTTGCTGCCGGGGAACATGAGGCAGCCTGTCCGCAGAATGAATTATGGGATGTTCAGATTTTCTGCAGTCCTTGTGCGCCTGCCATGCGTCTTTGACATCTTTCCAAAACAGGGTTCTCGTCACCCCTAGCCCTTTGGAGGATTAGCATGGGACCCATTGGTAGCCTCCTCACAGCAGGAAGAGTGCAATTGTTGCTCGCTCAGCTCACGGTTTGCTTTCTTTTCCCTGATCCCACAGCATATGCGAGAGGCTGCTGAACGGCGGCAACAGCTGGAATTGGAGCATGAGCAAGCCTTGGCTGTTCTCAACGCAAAGCAGAAGGAAATCGAACTCCTACAGAAGGTGGGTGGGGTGGGAGGGCTTCAAAAAAAGCCAGGAGGCACATTGCCCCCCGATCAACAAGAACAGACTCTCTTTTCTTATCAGGTCTTATAAATCGTTCACCACATTTAAACAAGCCCGGGTTTGTAAGCCAACAAGCAATGTTGGCTTCTCATTGTGGTTTGCAGTAAGCTTAACAAACCATGGTTTGTTTTTTGAGCTGGGTTCAGACAAGGCAGCGACAAGCAATGATTCAGCAAGCCACGAGCAGGCTCATCCTTGCATGTGAGCCTCACTTAGGTGTGGTTGTTTACCTAAAGTGTTTGGGACGTGCTGGGAGTTTTTGAGCTGTGCGGGCCCTCTGAAATACACGATGCCACCAAGCTGCAGCACAGTGTAGGCACCATTCCTAATTCAACCCCCTCACCCTGTGTAATACATCCTCAGGCTCTTGCAGTCAACATGCCAAAGTCCTAAGAAAAATTATGCAGGAGGAAACCATAGCATGTAATGTTGGTGCAGAAGTGAGACCAACACTGGTTTTATTAGATTGCGATAGCACGGCATCTCACCAAGTTAATAACCATTGGTTTGAGGCAGGGTGGTTAAACTGCAGTACTGCGGTCAAGAACCTGCTCACAATATGAATGCAATCATGACGGGCTCGAGTAGCCAGCTTGAGGTTGATCCAGCCTTCTGTCCTTCCAGGGTCGGCAAATTGAATACCCAGCTTGCTGGGATGGGGCAATCTGTAGCTTGTTTAATTAGGTTGTAAACCACCCAGAGAGTAAGCACTATGGGGTGGTATATAGCATATTTTTCTGTGTATAAGACACTCCCATGTATAAGACATCCCCACTTTTCTAATCCAAAATTAAGAAATCTAAGTGGGGCTTAGCAAGTGTAGGGGGAAAGGGATCAAAGCACTGCAGGATCGCTTTGATCCCTGCTTTCCCCTCCACTTGTTTTTGTTCTATCCTCAGCTTACTTCCGTGTATAAGATGACCCTCAATTTTTAGTCTAAATATGTTAGACAAAAGTACAGTCTTATACATGGAAAAATACGGTAAGCAGCCCACTTTGGTTCGGTTTTATTTTGCTCCCACCTTTGCCTTCCAGCAGCCTGTAATCAGAGGCAATGTTCCCGATGAGAATATAGGAAGCATTTACTCCATTCTGGCAGTTCTTTTCACTCTGTCAGTCAAGGAAAGAAGGACATAATATTACCCTGCCAAACTCCACTGTAGATAAGAAAAGCTAATAAAATAATGAAGTTTGTCGCGAAGCTAGATTTGCAGCGCCTGTACACGTCGCTTTCTGCGTCACCATATTGTGCTTGGATTCTGGAAAGATATATTACTAAACCTGTTCTGACAGATTCATAACAGATAAGGCAAAGATAAAACAAAAGTTTCATATTACCTGCCAAGGTATTAGCTGTACTCTGGAGAGCCGTCTTCTCTTTGCTTCTTCTAATAGAGAAGGATCATGAACCCAATATTAAAAACAAAAGTTAGAGAGAGAGAGAGAGAGAGAGGAGTTTTCACTGTATGCACAAAAAGAAGGTTTTATCACTCACTTATGGAGAACAGTTATACCCCAGTGCTTCACAATGAGTAGTGACTGCATATTTACGCAACAGGATTCTGCCCAGTGTGTAGTCTTTCTTTTGAGGTGGTGGTGGGGAATCTAAGAAATGTTGTGATGGTGATCATGGTTGTGGTGATGGTAAGGATGATGGTATCTTTTCAGGCTCAGGTTGAAGCAAAGAAAGAACATGAAGGTGCAGTTCAGCTGCTAGAGGTAAGTTTGTCCATCATCCTGTTCACTTCCTGCTGTTACTGCTTTTAGGATTGCTAGCTAGTTTGAGTGGTAGATTATGCGGCTTGCAGATCAAAGGGGGAATGAATGAGCTGAGAGTTAAAAGCATGCTTCCTTGTGTTTTGAGGATGTTCTGATGTGTTGCTGTGATGACGAATCTTAGTGTAAAAATATCACCATCATCCTTTTAGAACTGCAGAACTGGAAGGGACCTCTATGGATCATTGACTTCAGCCCCTGTCAAGAAAGCCCAGTTGGAATCAAACTTCCCAACCTCTGGCTCCATTCCTAAACTACTGGGCTATCTAGCAATTCATAATAATAATCTTAGGATTGCAGAGCTGGAAGGGATCCTGTAGATCATCAAGTCCAGCCCCTGTCAGGGAGGCATAGTGGGGAATCAAACTCCAGTCCTCCAGTTCCCCAGACACCGAAACCACTGAATTATCCAAGGTGTCAAGCAATAAGGGATAGATTTCTTGTTCACAGAAATGAGCAAGAACATTCAGTTCTGAAAGTTGTCCTCCTCCTATGTCGTCCAGAGTTGTAGGTAGGTTCAGAGATTAAAATGGGAGGAAAGTGGGCGTGAGTGAGTCTGGGGTGGAGGGGTGACCAAGAGACCAACAGTGAGCCTGTTGCTTTGTATGTTGAAGATCCTGGGTTCAAACCATGAAAACCAGCCGCTAAAAGGATCTTGAACTCTTCACATGTTGCAGAGCCAACCGTATGGAAATGGTCCTCTCAAGCTGTCCAGAACAGTGGTCTCCAACCTTGGGCCTCCAGATGTTCTTGGACTACAACTCCCAGAAGCCTTCCCCACCACCTCTGCTGGCTAAGATTTCTGGGAATTGAAGGCCA